TGAATCTGGGCAGCGAGGTGAGGTCCCGCTGTTAGGTGCAGCTTCTGCCAACCTAGCAGTTTGAAAACATGCAAATGTGAGTAGATCAATAGGTACCGCTTCTGTGGGCTGGCCACATGACCTTGGAGGCATCTATGAGCAACACTGGCTCTTTGGCTTAGAAATGGAGATGAGCTGGACACGACTGGACTCAATGTGAGGGGAAACCTTTACCTTTTATATGTGTGTGTTAGGGCTGGGCGGTTTCGTTTAGTTAATTCGTAATTCGTTAAAAAATTCGTTAATTTTTCAATTACAAAACGATAACGAACCAGTCTGGAGCAATTTTTTAAAAAAACGAATTTTTAAATCGTTTCGTAAATGTTTTGTATTTCGTTATTGTATTCGTTTCGTTATCGTTTTGAGGTCGTTTCGTTATTATTTCCGCATGTCTGGGGCAAGTTTTATAGCTGTTTTTGGTTTTCTAAGGGTTTTTATAGTTGTTTTTGGTTTAATTAAGCTTCAGAAGTTCCCCCTGTCCCATTTGGAGGTTTTTTAGCGTATTGCGCGGTCGCGTCCGCCATTAATGAATCGATTCGTTATTGTTTCGGAAATCGATTCGTTATTGTTTTGTAATTTTTTTCACATTTACGAAATTTCGTAAATATCGAACTTTTTTTAAGGAAAATTTTGTAATTATTTTAAATAACGAAATGCAAAAAACCCCAAAAAATGAATCGATTTTAGAAACAAATTTTTCCGTTGTTACCCAGGCCTAGTGTGTGTGTGTGTGTGTGGCTGGAACTACATTTATCTGTTCTGACTCATATACAAATTCAACTTAAGAACAAACCTACTCTTGTCCGCCCTCTTGTTCTTAACTTGGGGATGGCCTGTATTTTGATTTATGGCAACTGCAAGAATGAGAAGGCTTCTCTCATGTCCCCACATGAGGAGCTGGAGCTGATAGAGGGAGCTCATCCGCCTCTCCCCGGATTTGAACCTGCGACCTGTCGGTCTTCAGTCCTGCCAGCACAGGGGTTTAACCCACTGTGCCACCGGGGGCTCCTCTTGGAAACCATTTATCCATTTCTTTGGTCATCCAGAGTATCTGCATAACTCTCCTCCAGCACCGAGGCAGCCTCTTAACAATCTTTTTTTGATGTTCAAGGTAACAAAATATGCACACTTAATAAAGTCCCTGAATTATTCCTATATATATTATTCATATAATACTATTAAGGCATAGAGTTCTTCAGATGACTTCATTCTCCAGGCAAAAGGGTGCTTTCATCCCCATTTCAGGGCAGGGAAGTGAAGTGAAAATGGAAGGACTCATTCACAGCTCTAGAATTTGAACCCAGGTCTTCTGGGTCACTCCACGGGAAGTGTTCTTCTCACAATTAAGTAGATACATTTGCCAATTGAATTACAGGTGCCCCCTTTTTGCCCGGCAGGTTCTGCTCCTTCCCCTCTCCCAACAGCCAGGCGATGCTGTTTAAGAAGCACAATATTAAAAATAATTGGAATTTATTCCAAGGGGAAAGCAAATTCCGACCTCACTTCAACATAAACCTGAACTTTATCAGACAAGGGCAAAATTAAAGAGAGGGAGCATTTGAACTTTCTGACCTTTTGCGGATAAACTCGGCTCAGGAATGCCGAATGGAGCGGAGGCCGCAGGTGTTTTTCTTCTTCTTCCTAAATGTCCCCTAGATGTTCCCAACAAAGATATATTTGTGCATAGTTTATTGGCTAGGAAATGGAGAGGTTTGCACAGTGTGTTTGCACAGTGTCCTCCAGGTGTTTTGGACTCTAACTCCCACAATTCCTAACAGCCTCAGGCTCAGGAAGGGGCCTGAGGCTGTTAGGAATTGTGGGAATTAGAGTCCAAAACACCTGGAAGGCTGAAGTTTGCCCAGGCCTGGTTTAGAATACGGCAGCTGAATCTGGTTCCACCCTATCGCCTCCTCTAGAGTAGAAACAGCAGGTAAGAAGAAGCGTCCTTAAAGCTTGCACCGGGAAGAGAAGCCTGGGTTAGAAGCCCTACCTCATAATGGTCTGATAGAAAACAGGTCTTTTGGGGACTGTGGCACAGCTTGCTGGGAGTCAGCTGCATTAAGATCACTACTGACCGAAAGGTCATGAGTTCGAAGCCAGCCCGGGTTGGAGTGAGTGTCCGACCAATTTGTGTAGCTTGCTGTCGACCTTTGCAGCCTGAAAGACAGTTGTATCTGTCAAGTAGGAAATTTAGGTACTGCTTATGTGGGAAGGCTAATTTAACTAATTTACAATGCCATAAAAAAATCTCCAGCAAGCCTGCAAAGAATGAGGAAGTACTTCATCAGTGTCACAAATGGACGGTGAAGCAACAGCTCCCCTGGTGGCCGGAATATCCTCATGAAAAAGTTGGAATGTTAAATTGCCTCTGTGTCTGTCTATATATGTTGTGTGTCTATGGCACTGAATGTTTGCTATGTATATGTACATTATAATCCGCCCTGAATCCCCTGCGGGGTGAGAAGGGTGGAATATAAATACTGTAAATAAATAAACTGGAGGCCCAGAGTGAAAACAGGTATCTGCCCTCCCAATTTTGGGAGGATCCCAGAAAATGAATCAGAGCCCCCACTGCAAGCCGGGACATGAAATAGGTCAAGGTTTACCCTGAAAGCACCACCTTAGTGGGAATGAGGGGGTCTTAACAATGAAAATGTTATTGAAGAGAAGGATGTATTTAAATAAGAAGGTGCAGACAAAAAATGTTACATGAAAATGAAGTGTGTATAAGTATGAGCACCAACGGAAACTAAGTGTAAGCAAGATGTTGTAACAACTATAAAAATATTGTGAAATAAAAAGAGGAGGAGGAGGAGGAGGAGGAGGAGGAGGAGGAGGAGGAGGAGGAGGAAAAAGAAGTGGAGGAGTTGTTTTTGCCTGATCCCATTTTTGAGAGCCAGCGGATTCTGACAGCTCAATAACCCATTATGAAACAGCAACTCGAGCCCCAACGCTGCATATGCATGACAAACACACTTCCATCACAATAAATTAGCAATTCCCAGGCTTAACAACTCCTCCTGGACTAATTGCCAGAGATTATTGTATATTATGAGAGTGCTATGATACTAATGCCTAAATATGCTTCAGTGATTATGGTGCTATCTTCAATAACCAAGCTGTTTAAATGTCAGAGCGGAGAAGGCTCTTTAGCGGGAGATGAAATGTTATTTTCAAAATGGGCCAGAAGAAACTAATCAACCTTTGCGGGAATGTTGCTCTGAAACGATGTGTTGTTATTTTTGGTTACCAGCGGATAAACACACAGGCACACAAAGGGAGCATTGGTTACACCCCTTGTAGGCATTTAATGTTGTGAATCTGAGCATGGAGACAACCTGAAAATGATCTCCCGCATGAAAGTGAGCCTTTTGGGAGCCACACTCAGGATTGTGGGCTGTTGCTATTCACACCTCAACCGTGTTTGTGTGTAAATAGAGAAAGGGCTTGTGACATTTTTAACCTCAAAAGGATCTACACACATGAAAGGAGCCAAACTCTGTTCCAGAGCTTGGAAACTGTTTTTGGTGACCAGCATCCTCCCCAAGAAAGTTGTTCGGAAGCTTCCTGGAGACAATGATTTTTCTGAACCCTGTCTTAATATTAGCACACATCCTTTGCCCCCAGGTAAGCACCATACTGGATTGATGTGAATTAAATAGGAAGAAGGTTAGCTAAAGTATCAGAGTATAGCAGCCTACAGGCTGGTCCTCTACCTGTTGGCCCTTTTTGATGGTCAAGATGATCAGGTTGGTCCTCCACCTGTTGGCCCTTTTTTGATGGTCAAAATGATCGGGTTGGTCCTCCACCTCTTGGCGCTTTTTGATGGTCAAGATGATCAGGTTTGTCCTCCACCTGTTGGCCCTTTTTGATGGTCAAGATGATCGGGTTGGTCCTCCACCTGTTGGCCCTTTTTGATGGTCAAGATGATCGGGTTGGTCCTCCACCTCTTGGCCCTTTTTGATGGTCAAGATGATCAGGTTGGTCCTCCACCTGTTGGCCCTTTTTGATGGCCAAGATTATCAGTTTGGTCCTCCACCTGTTGGCCCTTTTTGATGGTCAAGATGATTCTCCATATTTTAAATATGAGTCAAGATGAGATCCTGGATTTGGAGAAGAATCCTAACATTCTGCACCGCTTGAACCTTCACATCTCCATCTACTAGCTGGTGGAGACAAGGAGCACCAAAGAAGCATGTGGTCATATCGCCAAAACTGGATTCTCAATGAGTTATCTTCCAGGGTTGTGGAGGAAGACATCTTGTACACAAACTCATATTCCAGCTACACAAGACAGCTTGGATATGTGACATATTTTGGATTGCAAAGCCCAGACTCTTTCATACACACAGGCTGCACCGTCTGGAGGAATCTAAGACTCACAGTCCAAAAAACCCACTTTGCAAACATGTATCCTGGCTGCATACTTCAAACTCATCAGCAAAGAAGAGACCAATGTCAAGGCTTATATGATTCCAGCCCAGCTTACTTGTCCGAACGTATCTCCATCCACGTTCCACCTCGTTGTTTAAGATCCACCACGGAGGTCCTGCTCTCGGTCCCACTGGCCTCGCAAATGCTTCTGGTGGGGACGAGGGACAGTGCATTCTCGGTGGTGGCCCCCTACTTGTGGAATTTGCTCCCCAGCAAGATTAGATTGGCATCCTCCTTCCTTTCATTTAGGAAAAAACTGAAATCGTTGTTTTAGCACCAGACTTTTGGCTAGCAGGCACAATGGCACTTTGGACATTGAATCGGACCATATGATGATTGTTATGATAATGGAAATGGCTATGATTGTATAATTATTGTTTGAATCTATTGTGTTTTTATGGTTTTATATTGTTATTATCTTGTGATATTGCGGCATCAAATTGTTGCTAATGTTAGCTGCTCTGTGTCTCCTCTCGGGGTTGAGAAGGGCCGGGTAGAAATGTTGTAAATAAATAAATAAGGCTTACCACATATCCGGGTCCACAGGTGCATTTCCCCATAATGCTGTCACAATCCGCTCCATTCTGGCAAGAGCAAAACTGCTGGCAGCTTTCACCAAAATATCCCAAAGGACAAGTGTCATTGCAGTAGAGCCCGGCCCAGCCGGCTTTGCAGTTGCATTCTCCAGAAAGAGGATGGCAGCTGGGAAGAGAAACCAGGGACAGGTAATTATTACATGAGAAGCTTTGCCAGTGGGAAGGGAAGGCAAGGATGCTTTGGGGTATCCGATTAATTAATAAACAAACAATACAACGAACAATTTGTAGGAAGAACAGTCAGGCACAATGCACACCAAGCACTGCCTCATACATCTGCCTTCCAAATCAAAACCCTTTAGTGCAAATGTCATTTTACCAAAGCCTCACATATATTTCTGGTATTTCCACAAAGAACTGAAAGCACATTTTGATGGGAAAAACGTAGCTGTAATGATAATAATACACTATGTAACAACATTTGAAATATTTTCTGTTCCTGGTTTGAAAGTGTTATCTCCTGTTTAATTGTGCAGTCCTCACTTTGAAAGGTAGTTGTTATACTCCGGAACCTTCGTTGTTGTGGCTGCTACAAACTAGGCTGAACTGGTTGAGACTCAATGAGATATTAGTTGAAAAACTAGAGCAAAATGTGCTATAGTAGGATGTCTTGGAAAAACAATGTTTTTGCAGTTTAATAAACTTCCCCCATGTTTTCAGGACTTCAGCAAAGGATCACCGCCTTGTCGTGGCGCTGGAGCTTGAGCACCTCAATGATGTCATGAGCGAAACCGTGAAGGGCCACCCAAGACGGGACGGTCGTGGCAGAGAGGTCAGACCAAGCGTGATCCCTGGGGAAGGCAATGGCAAACCACCCCAGTATCCTTGCCAAGAAAATAAATGGACCAGTACAACCAGAGATATGTCGGTATGCCATTGGAAGATGGGACTCCCAGGTCGGAAGATGGCCAAAATGCTACTGGGGAGGAGCAGAGGATAAGTTCAACTAGCCCCAGATGTGATGACGCAGCTAGTTCAAAGCCGAAAGGAAGGCTAGCGGCCGACGGTACTGGAGGTGAACGACGAATCCGATGCTCTAAAGATCAACACACCATAGGAACCTGGAATGTAAGATCTATGAGCCAGGGCAAATTGGATGTTGTTATTGGTGAGATGTCAAGACTAAAGATAGACATTTTGGGGGTCAGCGAACTGAAATGGACTAGAATGGGCCACTTCACATCAGATCGCCACCAGATCTACTACTGCGGACAAGAGGAACATCGAAGAAATGGAGTAGCCTTCATAATTAATAAGAAATTCGCTAAAGCGGTGCTTGGATACAACCCAAAAAATGACAGAATGATCTCAATTCGAGTGCAAGGAAAGCCTTTCAACATTACAGTGATACAAATATACGCCCCAACCACAGCTGCTGAAGAAGCAGAAGTAGATCAGTTCTATGAGGATCTGCAGGACCTACTGGATAATACACCAAAAAGAGACATTATTTTCATTACAGGAGACTGGAATGCCAAGGTGGGAAGTCAAATGACAACTGGGATCACAGGCAAGCATGGTATGGGAGAACAAAATGAAGCGGGACGCAGGCTGATAGAATTTTGCCAGGAAAACTCGCTGTGTATAACGAATACTCTCTTCCAACAACCTAAAAGACGGCTTTACACATGGACCTCACCAGACGGTCAACACCGAAATCAGATTGACTACATCCTTTGCAGCCAAAGGTGGCGGACATCCATCCAGTCGGTGAAAACAAGACCTGGGGCTGACTGTAGCTCAGATCACGAACTTCTTATTGCTCAATTTAGAATAAAACTAAAGAGATCAGGGAAAATACACAGACCAGTTAGATATGACCTCACTAACATCCCTAGCGAATATACAGTGGAAGTGAAGAACAGATTTGAAGGACTAGATTTAGTAAACAGAGTCCCAGAAGAACTATGGACAGAAGTCCGAGACATTGTTCAGGAGGCGGCAACAAAGTACGTCCCAAAGAAAAAGAAAACCAAGAAGGCAAAATGGTTGTCTGCTGAGACACTGGAAGTAGCCCAAGAAAGGAGGAAAGCAAAAGGAAACAGGGATAAGGGGAGATATGCCCAGTTAAATGCGCAATTCCAGAGGTTAGCCAGAAGAGATAAGGAACTATTTTTAAATAAGCAATGCATGGAAGTGGAAGAAAGACAACAGAATAGGAAGGACAAGAGACCTCTTCCAGAAAATTAGAAACATTGGAGGTAAATTTCAGGCAAAAATTGGTATGATAAGAAACAAAGATGGCAGGGACCTAACAGAAGCTGAAGAGATCAAGAGAAGGTGGCGAGACTATACAGAAGATCTGTATAGGAAGGATAATAACATTGAGGATAGTTTTGACGGTGTGGTGAATGAATTAGAACCAGACATCCTGAGGAGTGAGGTTGAATGGGCCTTAAGAAGCATTGCTAACAACAAGGCAGCAGGAGACGACGGGATCCCAGCTGAACTGTTTAAAATCATAAAAGATGATGCTGTCAAGGTGATGCATGCCATTTGCCAGCAAATATGGAAAACACAAGAATGGCCATCAGACTGGAAAAAATCAACTTATATCCCCATACCAAAAAAGGGAAATGCGAAAGACTGCTCAAACTTCCGTACAGTGGCCCTTATTTCTCATGCCAGTAAGGTAATGCTCAAGATCCTGCAAGGAAGACTCCAGCAATACATGGAGCGAGAGTTTCCAGATGTTCAAGCTGGGTTTAGAAAAGGCAGAGGAACGAGAGACCAGATTGCCAATATCCGCTGTATAATGGAGAAAGGCAGGGAGTTTCAGAAAAACATCTACTTCTGCTTCATTGACTATTCTAAAGCCTTTGACTGTGTGGATCATAATAAATTGTGGCAAGTTCTTAGTGGGATGGGCATCCCAAGCCACCTTGTCTCTCTCCTGAGGAATCTGTACAAGGACCAAGTAGCAACAGTCAGAACTGACCACGGAACAACAGACTGGTTCAAGATTGGGAAAGGCGTACGGCAAGGCTGCATACTCTCACCCAACCTTTTTAACTTGTATGCAGAACACATCATGCGATGTGCGGGGCTTGATGAATGCAAGGCTGGAGTGAAAATTGCTGGAAGAAACATTAACAACCTCAGATATGCAGATGACACCACTCTGATGGCCGAAAGCGAGGAGGAGCTGAGGAGCCTTCTAATCAAGGTGAAAGAAGAAAGCGCAAAAGCCGGGTTGCAGCTAAACGTCAAAAAAACCAAGATTATGGCAACAAGAATGATTGACAACTGGAAAATAGAGGGAGAAACCGTGGAGGCCGTGACAGACTTTGTATTTCTAGGTGCAAAGATGACTGCAGATGCAGACTGTAGCCAGGAAATCAGAAGACGCTTACTTCTTGGGAGGAGAACAATGTCCAGTCTCGATAAAATAGTGAAGAGTAGAGACATCAGACTGGCAACAAAGATCCGCCTAGTCAAAGCCATGGTATTCCCTGTAGTAACCTACGGATGTGAGAGCTGGACCTTAGGGAAGGCTGAGCGAAGGAAGATCGATGCTTTTGAGCTGTGGTGTTGGAGGAAAATGCTGAGAGTGCCTTGGACTGCGAGAAGATCCAACCAGTCCATCCTCCAGGAAATAAAGCCCGACTGCTCACTGGAGGGAAAGATACTAGAGACAAAGTTGAAGTACTTTGGCCACATCATGAGGAGACAGGAAAGCCTAGAGAAGACAATTAATTATGCTGGGAAAAGTGGAAGGCAAAAAGGAAGAGGGGCCGACCAAGGGCAAGATGGATGGATGGCATCCTTGAAGTGACTGGACTGACCTTGAAGGAGCTGGGGGTGGTGAACGGCCGACAGGGAGCTCTGGCGTGGGCTGGTCCATGAGGTTACGAAGAGTCGGAGACGACTGAACGAATGAACAACAACAAAATGTTTTCAGGATAGAACCAATTAGGAAATGACAATAAGACCCCAGGAACAAATATTGTGTGACATAGTGTAAAAATAAAGGTAATGGTTTCTCCTTCACATTAAGTCTAGTCGTGTCCAACTCTGGGGATCGGTGCTCATCTCCATTTCTAAGCCGGAGAGCCGACATTGTCCATAGACATCTCCTAGGTCAGGGGTCTTCAAACCTTTTAAACAGAGGGCCAGGTCACAGTCCCTCAAACTGTTGGAGGGCCGGATTATAATTTGAAAAAACATGAATGAATTCCTATGCACACTGCACATATCTTATTTGTAGTGCAAAAACACTTAAAAACAATACAATAATTAAAATGAAGAACAATTTTAACAAATATAAACTTATTAGTATTTCAATGGGAAATGTGTGCCTGCTTTTGGCTGATGTTGTGTGCTTTCAAGTCGCTTCAGACTTACGTTGACCCTGAGCGAGGGCCGGGTAAATGACCTTGGAGGGCCACATCCGGCCCCTGGGCCTTAGTTTGAGGACCCCTGTCCTAGGTCATGTGACCGCCATGACTGCATGGAGTGCTGTTACCTTCCCGTCAGAGCGGTACTTATTGAGTACCGCTCACATTTGCATGTTTTCGAACTGTTATGTTGGCAGAAGCAGTGCCGAACAGTGGGAACTCATCCTGCACTGTTTGGTCAGCAAGTTCAGCAACTCAGCAGTTTAACCCACTGAATCACCAGGGGCGCCATAATAATAATAATAATAATAATAAGAAGAAGAAGAAGAAGAAGAAGAAGAAGAAGAAGAAGAAGAAGAGGAGGAGGAGGAGGAGGAGGAGGAGGAAGAGGAGGAAGATCAAACTGCAAAGACTCTGGCACAAACCAGTCAAGGTGGTCCCAGTGGTGATCGGCACACTGGGTGCAGTGCCTAAAGCCCTTGGCCTGCACTTAAACACAATAGGCGCTGACAAAATTACAATCTGCCAGTTCCAAAAGGCCACCTTACTGGGATCTGCATGCATTATTCGCCGATACATCACACAGTCCTAGACACTTGAGAAGTGTCCAACGTGTGATCCAATACAATGGCCAGCAGAGTATCTGCTGTGGACTTATTTTGTTGTGTTTCAAATAATAATAATAATAATAATAATAATAATAATAATAATAATAATAATAACAACTTCAAAATTGAACTGCAAAGGCTCTGGCATAAACCAATACAGG